TTTTATTCAAATCGCTATTTAACTTGGAGATAAGTTCTGCTGAATCCTTTGCTGTTGAAAACATCTGCGTATCATCGGCATATAAGCAAGGGGTGGTGTTATCGAGACAATCTGGGAGATCGTTAATGTAAAGTAAAAACAATAATGGTCCTAAGATGGATCCCTGAGGAACCCCACAGACTATCTTTTTTGGCGTTGATATCGTGCCGTTGACAAAACATACTTGTTCCCTATCAGAAATATAAGATTCAAACCACTTCAATTCAATATTTGAAACTCCAAATTGCTCTTTCATTTTGTGCAATAAGATATTGTGATTAATTGAATCAAAAGCTTTCCTAATATCAAGAAAAACTACACCATTCAAGTCGCCATTATCTATATTTTCGTACCACGCTTCACACATTTGAATAAGTGCAGTCAAAGTCGAATTCTTTGGGCGGAATCCAGATTGATACTTAGAAAGCAAAGAGTTCTCACTCAAAAATTCATACAATTGGTTGAAAACAGAACGCTCAAAAATTTTGCTAATAATTGGTAAAATTGAAATTGGGCGATAATTTTCGCACTTTTGTCTGTCTTCAGATTTGAAAATCGGTAGAACCCAAGCTTTTTTCCATTCGTCTACATAGATTCCAGTTCTAATCGAGAGGTTAAATATCCACGTTAATGATGGGCTAATTACTTCAGCTGAAATTTTGAGTGCCCTTGCTGGAATAGTATCAATGCCTGTCGATTTTGATGTTTTAAGTCTATATAACTGAAGGAATACATCATGCACATTAATTTCTGAAAATCTAAATTGTATATCTGATTGGGAATTGACATTTTCTGACCAACTTGGGTCCAAGAAATTATTCTCAATTTCGGCGGCTAATTTAGCCCCAATAATCACGAAGTGTTCGTTAAAGGACTCTGCCATTTTTATATCGTCAGAAATAATATTTTCGCCTATTTTTAACTGGGAAATATTGTTCGCTCTATTATTTTTCCCCAGAAGTTCGTTAATTAGCTTCCAGCTTTGTTTAGGGTCTTTTGCCAGAGCACAATCTTCAATTTTTTGCAGAAAAAGTTTTTTTTTGCCTTATACATTTCTGAGTGAACTTTATTGCGAGTTTCTTTATACTTAGCCCAGTGGATTTGAGATTTAAATTTTACAGCTCTCTTTTTATGAAAATCTCTCATTCGCATTAGCTTTTTAATATTTGGAGTAATCCAAGGGAGGGAATTGCCCCGAACCCTCATGCGTCTTAACGGTGCATGCAGATCGAGTACTTGCATGCAAGTAATAGGACCTCCATATTCGATAGCAAGTGTTTGGATCGTCATGCTGTGCCACATTTTCCCAGGGTATCTGGGAGAGATCATTAAGGAAATCAGTAGCATTAAAATTTTTAAAATTTCGAGCATATGTTACGTTTTGTCGAGAATTAAAAGCGCAATGTTTCCTAACAGCAAAAATTAAACTGTGATCTGATATACCTAGATGGATAACTCCTGATTTTGCAAAATTTTGCTTCTTATTCGTGATAAACAGATCGATCAGGGTAGCTGTCGTTTTCGTTACCCTTGTAGGCTCTTTAATTAGTTTATCAAATTGGTAAAGAGACAATAAAAATTGTAATCTACGCGTGTGGGGATCAGGAGGAGATTTGCTGATGTCACAATTTAAATCACCTAAAAGTATTAGTTCTTTGTTCTCTAAGTCGCATTTGCTAAGAAAAACTTCAAAGTCGTCGAATACCTGTACATCTGAATTGGGAGGTCTATACCATGTACTTACTAGAATCGACTTACTACATGGTCTACTGATTTCTATGCATATCATTTCTAGTGAACATGTTAGCAAGTCCTTTCGTTCGGTAAAGGGTATGGTGTCACGGACATACAAAAGTACACCGCCTCCGTACCTATTACGATCTTTTCGAATTAGGTGATATCCGACAAGGCTAATTTCATTCTCCGAAAATGAATCATCAATTTTAGTCTCATTAATTGCTAGAATATCTAAGGCCTCTTCTGATGGGTATAATTTATTCTGTAGTAACGGCGTAAACGCTCTTGGATTCTATATCCCTCCCTAGGTTGTTGAAAAATTTGAATTAGAAAACAAGGAACAGTACAGTCCACCACTGGCGTCCTCTTCTGCTGGGTATATTCTCTTGTAACGGCCTGACAGCTTGCAGAATCTGACCCTAAATGGTTGAAAAATTTAAATTAGAAAACATTGTACAGTACTGTCCACCACTAACAAATACTCCGCGGTTAACCTTAGGTCAAACCTCGGTCTGATCGTGGTTGAACAGAGGACAGACCGAGGTTGAACTGAGGTCGTACCGAGGTCGAACCGCGGTAAGACGGAGTTTAATCCTCGGCCTTACTCGGTCTGACAGACATTTCTTAAGATTTTTTCGATTTGGTTATTGTGTTGTCATTCTCAGCTGTTCATAGCATTTCGTTGGGAAGCGAATGGCCACTGCGAAGGTATTTTTTTCCTTGCGGTCGTCTGTGGTATCTATCAGTCGTATACACTGGTATCGGGGAAGGAACGCTTGTGTGTAAACGCTAACGGGACAATTTCGGAATTCAAAGGGAGCAGTGTAAACGTAGTCTAATAGACAACTTGCATGATAGACTTCGCACCGCTAAGCATGATGGTAGGAGGCAGGGGGCGATTTCCTTCGGAGGAATATATGGCAGCTTTTAGACTATTTATTGCTTCAATCGACATTCGTTTTCCTATGGGAAATAACAAGGGTGCTATGCTCTATATTCTGAGAGAATTTGAGAAGTTCCTATCCATTAGCAACCGAGAAAATACTCCGTGAGTGATACGCTTTGAAAACTTACTTTGCAGAATTTACATGGGGAAATTTCGATCTCCGCAAAAAAAGCAGGTGAGTTGGCCTTTCATTATGCGATCGGCTGAATTTTATTACAAAATATGATGCTCGGATAGTGCCTTGCATTCGATCTCACAGTTGTTTTGCATGTTCGCGCTTTAAAATGGCATTTTTGGCCTCTTGAAATTTACGACCAAAATACACTTAATTCAAATTCAAGTCGTCTTCTTGTAGCGCAAAAATTAAAAGCCAGACGTTTCAGTTCTGGGTTTTCTGCTGTTATTTATGCTTTAGCTGAAATGTAAGTGTACTTCTTTCCTCCGGTACTATAAATTTTGTATATAATACGTGAGTTCTATCGTAATTTTAGGCAAGATATATAGTTTAATATACATTTTTAAAGTCGCTTTAGATTTGTATATAATTTTTTAATAAATCATTTAGTTAAATTATACAATTTCATTTTCTCAGGTGCTAGAGGATAATCGTTGTGAAGATCGTGTAAATCGGGGGGATAGTGAAGGTCCACTTCCAATATGTAGCCTTCTTCGTCATCGTCAGCAACGTCTGTGATGTCAAGTCTGCGATCTCTTGGGTCTCAAACTCACCCGTGGGTAGAGGCTGTTACATTGCCTAGCCGTAGAGGTTGTTAACATCAAGATACGTCACGTAGGAAGTCTCTTTTTCTGGGTCATCATCGGGTATGTATATGGATTGTTAGCTTTACCATAACTGTTGCTAACTATTGAAATTCCACCGCGAAGACCTTCTTCGATGAATAGATACATGTCTGGATCGGTCAGCAGCTCGAGTTCGACTTCAGTCATTTTCAAACACACTTGCCAGGCTAGACCATGACTTGTAGAGAAGTGGCAGGGATCCAAGTTGTGGGCTTTGAGGCATACGCTTCGAAAATTTTCAAACACATCCGCAAGGAGAAGAACGTCTGACGTCAAGTACAAATCATCGTAATCACCCATGTTCCGACAGGAAAACTTCGTCGCGTGTGCGTATTCTTCGTCTGAAATACCTTCGTCGTTCAACAAATTGTAGAAGGATTCCTTCGGTGGTAAGGTTGTTTCTTCAAATCTCTCTATGCTATCCATGTAGTCGTAGGGGTAGTTACCTTTTCTTAACAGAAGGGATACTTTGTCGCTGTCGAGGTATTTCTTTAGAATGGGGAACTTTTCAACGCCGTCCTTTGCTAGTTTGGATACTAACTTCTCCAACGATGCATTCATGAATTGTAGGGAGTCGATATAATCCAAATTATCGATGGAGAAGGAGATGTACTTTTCGGCGTTGTTTGCAATGCAGTTGATCTTCTTCTCTTTGAGTTTACCAAGTCCTTGCATTATGAGATGAGAATCATACCCACGTAGATTGTGAAGAATAACAGGAATTCGGTCGAAAAAACTATAGTTCAAATTGCAATCGTTGTGTGCAGCTCCACGGTACTTTCCTGAAAGATGACAGTGGTCGCGAACACGATCCGAACCCAATTCATATCCACAAATATGGCAATGGCCTGCATCTTGAAATGCTTGCTCTTCTTCTCTCTCAATTCGCATGGGCTCGACCCAATCCAGTTTCTCTTGAATATATTTCTGCTCTTCTTCTAAACACTTCAAAAATTCGTTGACTGCATCTTCTCCGCGATACACAACTGGTGGTTTGGAGTACTTCGCATGGTCGGATACAACAATGTAGGAAAATCCACAAGATTTGTGGTGTTGGTATTTTTCAGTGGAGGATTTTTCAGGATTAGGTTTAACTGAGTTGATCTTGGTGGTAGGACTTTCGAAGTCGGCGTAGACCGTGTTGAGAGCAGTGGGGTTCGTGTTCTTGGAGGAGGTCGTCTCGGATAAATCCATGAAGCCAGTAATGACAGTAATACATACGAGCCTTTCTCCGGTTTTGACTGTAGAGTAATTTATTCAGATCTTTGATGAGGCAGTAATGTCTAGTTGTTCCTTGGGAGTATAGTAATAGGTTTACGTGGGTATCAAAGTGCTCCTTTGTGATGTAGATGGGAAAGAGTACATCCTCAAAGCCAAATACGTTCACAGAAATATTATTCTGACGCTCAAATTTTCCAATCTTGTCAACAGTAACAGGAAATTCAATACCAGCCAAATCTAGTTCATCTTGAAACTGTTAATAATGATGCAATCTTTCCGCATTCAGTTTCACTGGGTGCAGAGCGGCGAGGATAAACCACATGAAACATTTGTTATCAGAATTCTTCACGTTTATGATAGCTTTCTTAGTCTTTAGTTTGCTGGGTAGAGGGATATAACTGGATCCTTTAACTGGAGAATACTGAGCGATACTCAAGTCAAGATGAAGGATCTCGTCTAATATCCAACCGCTTCCTTCTTTTTGAAATAATACTAAGGACTGAATGGTTTTCTGTTTGGCTTCAGTTAGTTGACTCTCGATTTCATGCTGGCTTACTGTTCTCATACAATGACTACGAAAGTGGGGTTCGGTGGCCACATCTTCACCATCACGTTTAGGTTTGATGAACCGTACTTTAATGCTTATGAACCATTTGATACCTCTTTGCTTTACCAGCTCTTTGGAAAGGTGATTCAGAATGGAGTCTGTCTTGCCGCGTAAGAAGTGAGATATGTCCTGTTTCTGATCCTTCCGCGGTTTCAACTCGATTTTCTTCAAGAAATCTTCAAAAGCTGTTGTCGAACTACATGGGTTATCTTCTTCGACGTGATTATCTGGTTCGCCTTTTCCAATGTGAACATCAGCTCAGGCCTTCTTTGAGACTGAACCACTGTCATTTTCGTCAGGTCTTCTTTTCAATGGATTCCCTTGACGGAGAATTTGATGCTCCACCAATTTATCACGACGGTAAAAGCTTTTTCTACAGTTGGTGCAGGTATGAGTATCGGCGCTTTGGTGGTGTCTTTCATGTCGCTTTACAGCATCCTTTCGTTTAAAAGACTCGTCGCAATGTTCACAAACAAACTTCTCCTCTCCATGAGTAGTCTTTTCATGGCGAGTCAAATTTCTCAGTTGAGTGAACTTCTTCGAACAAACTTTGCAAGTATAATCCATTCTACAAGCAGAGTAAAAAAAAATCATGCTCAGAATTTTTCTTCAAGTTAATGATATAGCAGCTACATTGAAAGCGTGAGAGTTAACGTTGATTTATTAATACTAATGCCGCAAATAACTAATCTACCAACCACAATATCTTTATCAACCGTTCGTTGCATGACTTTCCCAAGGCGCACCTCAGATTTTTCTTAACAAGTGCAGCTAACAAGGGCACAGCAACTACTTGGTGATCAAAATGTGATCTCACATTTATATCATATTTTACACAAAAAGAATAAACTATTCAACATCTTACCTTGGTACAACTCTCTTTACCCTCTTTAGACTTAAGCAGCAAATTCAGCAAATTCAACTTTGTCGTCTTTACAGTTACGTCGCAGTTTACAATTCCAAATTTGATAAATTTTTCAGCTTATATCCAAGTAAAATGCACCTACGGCTTGTGGTGCAAACATGATATTTTGGATCATGTGTAATTTTGCGCATGCGTTAAAGGTTTTTTATCTAAACGTGCTCGATCTTGCCTGTAGTTCAACCATGGGTTGCTAGGATATGATGTATTATGATATACACGTATATAATTATAAATCATTGACTAATCATTGTGTAAAAGCGGCAGAGCGTTAAATATCATATAAGCTGAGATCTCTAAACTAATGCCTGAAGTCTTGAAATATAAACAAGAACGCCGAGACTGTGTTTCGTTTCAATACAAACTCTGGTTATCATATTAGACGAAAAAGCTATACGTTATTGCTTATGCCTCATAGTAAGTCTCGGTCTTCGAAAAGTTCAATTTCAATTCGCTATTTTCTTGAATTAACGCTAAGATCTATAAAATACACATGTATAGCTATAAGGTCTTACAATATAAGGCTTTTTAACACACCGGTAAATTGACAACCGGCTATGATATAAAATAATTATGTCGATGTCATGTGCATCTTCTACAAATCGCAGGTTAAACTATTCTGGGGTTACTACATTTATGTAGAAATTATAAAAGAGTAACAGAAAAACCCATCAAAAACGAGTTCAAAAAGCAGCATTGACAACGTATAATCTTGAATAAATTAGCAAATTCCTGAATAAATTTAAAATGATAAGGCGGTAATGACGTCACGTGTGGAGCAAGGCTCTCCACCCGCTCCAGAACCCCTCTTCTGTATACTACTATTACGTAATTTTAAATTAACTCCCTTCGTAGCCACACACCCATAGCGTCTCCACATTATTCAATTACCTCATTTTAATTTAACTCATTGCGTGGCCAAGTATCCGCGTATCCACTCCATATTGCCTCTACCTTAGTCAATTACGTCATTTTAATTTAACTCGCTGCGTAGCAAGGTATCCGCGTATCCACTCAATAATACGCTCTACAAACGACGGGTATTCTGCAATCGGTCCCTGTTGCCTTTAGTGCCTTTGGCAGGAATTTTAGAAATATGCAAATTAGTACGTAATATATGTATGAATATTCATTTTTGTCCTTTTAGAATACCCCTATAACGTTTGGACGTATTAAACATACGTATTAAACATACAGTCAGACTTCTTGCAATTGTTAATGTTAATTTAGTTAAAAAAATGGCATTAAAAGCATCATGAAGCCGATTGTTGAGGATATCAATATCCTCCATAATGGTGTACAAACGTGGATCAATGGTGTGGAACGACCAGTATTTGGCAAAGTATTGTCTTACAATGGAGATACATTGGGGCAGCATTTGTGGGGTGGCTATAAATCACTGGGGTGGCTTTATAAATCATCCCAGGGTGAAAGGCATTTTATTCAATTTTTTCTTCAAATAATCTTATTGGATCAATATTATATTTGCTGACAAAAACTGATGGAGGAAAGTATGCAACAAATTGAGTTTAGTTCTTTTACTTTGCTTGGTCTATGAACAGAAGTTGTTTTTAAATTTTAATATAATGTAAATATAAACTATCAAAGAAAGTTTATATTTTAGCTGGCAATAACAAACATTATTTCACAAGTGCCAGGTCTAATTATTCCACAAAATATGAAATGCAAATTTTGTGTTATAATCATTATTCATTTCTTTAGAAATTCATTGTTTTTACGTCAATGAACACAAAATTTTAGCATTTATAGCATGACTAAAATTTCCGGCGGCTACGCTACTGAATGTTTGCCGCTTTCGGTAAACAGTTTCCGGTAAACGTCAATCTTAAGGTCCCTAGTCTCGAAGCGTTTGGTTGCCTTCTTTTCCACTCTAAAAGTTCGGAGTATATTCCTTTTCGTAAACAAATTAAAATGCAAAACAAAATTTTTAAACTTACGGTTCAGCTAAAGTGAATCACGCATCAACGTGATATCGTTAAATATTTTAACGTGAAGTAAAAGTAATGTACTCTTTATTTTAAACGAGAAAAATATGTCGAATGTATAAGTAGTAAGATTTCTAAAAGATTATACAACTTTAAATTTCTTTACTTTCGGTGATAAAACTATAAAAACTGGAAGAATATTTGTAGAAATAGCAATATCGACATATTTTAAAACTCGTAACGTACCAGTCGCATTATGATTTCTCTTCAAAGCTCGTCCAGGTCTTCAATTGACCGTAAAGAAAAAAATGGCGGCATGTACATTTTACCAGAATGCATAGCAAGCATTAAGAATGATTGACTGAGAAAAGATGGGAAGAAAAACACCTAATGACGTGAAATTCTAACACAGCAAAGGAAATAATTTCTTGTTTTATGCCTGTCCTTTACAAGACACGAGTTCGGTTTTTTAAACGATTTCCGACCGCAATGCATTCTGGTAAATTGAACATTCGCCATTTTTTTTGTTATGGTCAATTGTTTGGAGTCACCGAACCCCTCAATATTTAGCAAAGGAGAAGAAATGATAATTTAACTTGGAAAACCTTTTTGTTAGATCTTGATTCACCCTGCTATACCCAGCCCATCGGTATGTAAATATTTTTATGGGCTGTAGACTAGAAATGCAAATTTTACGTTATTATTATTATTACTCATTTCTTTAGAAATTCATTGTTTTCACGTCAATAAAAACAAAAATATCAGCATAGCATGACTAAATTCTCGGACAGTCTACGCCACTGAACGTTTGCCGCTTCAGTCGGTAAATGGTTTCCGTAAACGTCAGTCTTAAGGTCCCTAATCTCTAAGCATAGGTTGCCTGGCTTTTCCGCTCTAAAAGTTGAGAATATATTCCTTGTCACAAACAAAATGCAAAACAAAATTTTGAACTTACGGGTTAGCTAAGGGGAATTATGCATGAACGTGATATCGTTAAATATTTTCGCGTGAAGTAAAAGTAATGTACTTTTTATTTTAAACGAGAAAAATATGTGGAATATATAAGTAGTAAGATTTCTAAAATAATACAACTTTGAATTTCTTTACTTTCGGTGATAACATTATATAGACTCGAAGAATTTTTGTAGAAATAGCAATAACGGCATAATTTATAAAACTCGTGGCGGACCAGTCGCGTATTATTTCTCTTCAAAGCTCGTTCAGATCTTCAATTGTTTGGAGTCACTGAAGCAGAAACCCCTCAGCAGAAAATATTTTTATGGGCTGTAGGCAAGAAATACAAATTTTATGTTATAATCATTATTCATTTCTTTAGAAATTCATTGTTTTCACGTCAATGAAAACCAAAATATCAGCATAGCATGACTGAACTGTCCGACTGGCTACGCCACTGAACGTTTGCCGCTTTCGGTAAATGGTTTCCCGTAAAGGCCGACACACACCGGACGCGATGCGGGAACGCGACGCGAATTTTCAGTTTTCAGAAGCATATAAATTAAATTCTGGAAGTAAAATTTGGAAACTATTGACGCTAGAGCAGTCAAAATGTTTTATTGTTATGTAATATACCAGAATATTATAATAGTTTAAAATTTATTTGATTTTGAAAAATTAAAAAGTTGAAAATTCGCGCCGCGTTGCCAATTCGCGTCCGGTCTGTGTCGACCTTAAATGTCAGTCTTAAGGTCCCTAATCTCGAAGCAAAGGTTGCCTTCCTTTCCACTCTAAAAATTCGGAATAAAATTATATTCCTTGTCGAAAACAAAATGCAAAACAAAATTTTGAACTTATACGGGTCAGCTAAGGTGAATTATGCATGAAGGTGATATCGTTAAATATTTTCGCGTGAAGTAAAAGTAATGCACTTTTTATTTTAAACGAGAAAAATATGTCAAATATATTAGTGGTAGGATTTCTAAAATATTACAACTTTGAATTTCTTTACTTTCGGTGATAAAATTATATATACTCGACGAATTTCCGTAGAATAGCAATAACGACATAATTTATAAAACTCGTTGCGTACCAGTCGCATATTATTTCTCTTCAAAGCTCGTTCAGGTCTTCAATTGTTTGGAGTCACTGAAGCAGAAACCTCTTAGCAGAAAATATTTTTATGGGCTGTATGCAAGAAATGCAAATTTTATGTTATGATCATTATTCATTTCTTTAGAAATTTATTGTTTTCACGTCCAAGAAAACCAAAATATTGGCATAGCATGAGTAAATTGTCGGACTGGCTACCCTACTGAACGTTTGCCACTATCGGTAAACGGTTTTCCGTAAATGTCATGCAGTCTTAAGGTCCTTAATCTCGAAGCGTAGGTTGCTTTCTTTTCCACTCTAAAAATTCGGAAAATACTCCTTGTCGCAAACAAAATACAAAAATAAATTTTAAAACTTCCGGTCTTAAGGAATTACGTATCAACGTGATATCGTTGAATATTTTCACGTGAAGTAAAAGGAATGTATTTTTCATTTTGAACGAGAAAAATATGTCGAATATATAAGTAGTAAAATTTTTGAAAGATTACAACTTAGAATTCTTTATTTTTGGTGATGAAATTATTAGACTCGAAGAATTTTTGTAGAAATAGCAATAACGAAGTACTTTATTAAACTCGTAGGGTACCAGTCGCATTCCCATTATGATCTCTGTTCAAAGCTCGTTCAGGTCTTCAATTGTATTCGAAGCAGGAACCTCTCAATCTTAAGCAAAGAAGAAGAAATAATAATTTGGCTTTAAAAACCTTTCTGTTAAAACTTATTTCACTTTTCTATACATAGACTATACACTGTTAATTTTGAAGTGTTAAAATAGCACCACCGCAGGTGCCAAATAAACACCATGCAGTGGTGTTAAATAGAAAGTGCTATTTTGGCCCCAACGTCGGTGCTAATTTAATACCACCAAATCTGGGATTACGCTAAAAGTGCCAATACGACACCATATTACCACCACCATTGCAAGGTGCCAAAATAACACCTCTTTTGCCGACGGAAAGTGTTAAAGTGACGCCATATAGGGAGTTAAATATGGGGTGTCAAAATAACACCAAATGGCGGATAGGCCGGGAAAGAGCACGTTTGATTTTATTTAAGTTATTGGAAAATAAATTTGTATTTTGGAATGAGATGATTTTGGAACAAAGAATTCCCGTGCGTTTTCTCACAACTATTCATCTAAAAGACGACATGGAAATTCGGCTTGTGGCTATGAATACGTCAGATACGTTTCTATATAAAAAAACCCGAGATACATCGATATAGTGACCCATTGTCCTTTTTATTTCATCAAACTATGTTATTTTTGCTATGTATTGATTGCTACAAAGTAAATATTTCGCAATCGCTTCTGCATATGTATGTCTATATAAAGAACAAGAATTGTATTAACACCACCTGTCTTTATAAGCTTGTCTACCTGTTTGTTAAGTAAATTGTGGCAGATGTGACAATCTCGAAGCGTAGGTTGCCTAGTTTACACTCGATCGTGGTTATTCACTGGTAGTTATTTACTTTCGTTAGTTATTCCTTGTCGTAAACAAAATACAAAGCAAAATTTTGAAAGGATGCAAATTGAATTTATAATATTGCTATGTATAATATAAGAATGACGTGCATAATTTCATTGAGTATTTTACTTGAAGTAAAAGTAGTGCACGTTATATTTCAAACGAAAATGAAATTATATGATTGAATACCTATACATTCTTGTTAGACTACAACTTCGAATTTCAGTTTTTCATAAATCGTTTCCAGAATTTTTTTCGGAAATAAGAAAAGCGACATAATTTATTAAACACGTACCTGCCCTCGTTCAGGTTTTAATTGTTTGGACGCACCAGAGCGTGTACTCATCTAGATAAAATATCTTGGCGCATATGCAATGAAACATAATGTTTAACTGCTGTGTTAACGAGCAACAAGACCATCTCCCATAAGGAGGCAAAATTTAAATTAAAATCGTAAGTTAAAATCGTTTATATTTTTACGATTAAAACCGTATAGCATTCACTTACGTCACTAAAATCGAGGCATTCTCTTAACACATTTTAGGAAGCGAAAAGCATTGCAAAAATGTTGAAGCTTTTGTTCAGTATCGCAATCTTTGTCAGGATTGCTGTCGAGGAAAGCAATGGTGAGTATAAGTATTTTTGTATGTATAGCTATTTGTAAGCCATTTATAACAGCAATATCATATAAAAAGCCGGTAACATGCAAGAGAAGATCGAATATAGAAACAATGAAAATTTTCTTCCTCCATAACGCTCGAATAAAATCCACATTTTCCTACACTTGTCGAATATGATATTGATATTCTGCGAAGTGCCAAAGGCCATTTTCACAGTTCGCTCGAAAAAACCAAAGCCTGCAACCCTTCATGCATGCAGGGAAAGGAAATCACTGACGTTAACAGGGGGATATTTTTATCTTGTCCATGCATGGGAAAAACAGCGCGGGATCGTGAGCGTTTACCTACAAATTTTGTTTTTGTTTTGCTTTGCTTTGCTGTGCTTTTCTTTGCTTTGCTTTGCTTTGCTTTGCTTTGCTTCCTGGAGTTTTCTCATCGCTATTTCACCTGTAATTTGTAAAATTTGTAAATAATTTTAATTTTATAAAAATATGAGATGGAAACCATCTCCTTAATTTTAGACATTTTTAATTTTAAAAACATTTGTCGCCGACTTTTTTATTGGAAAACAGATCGCGTGCTTCCAAATGGTGCTAAGAACTTGCAAATAAATATAGGTACTCATTTCGCGAGAATTTTAGCCTTTTATTGCCCAGTCTTTCTTTATCTTGTTTAGAGAGAAGTACATACATAATTCCATATATAAAATTTTTATGTGCGATTTTATGTGCGATTTTTGTCTTTTGGTAGATGTGAACGAGTGACCAGTTTGGTGCTGAACGAATGCCCTGTTGTATAAGAGCTTTCATTTGAACGTTCGTAACTAATTCACTCGTTCACATCTATCAAAAGAAGTAAATTGCAAATGAAATTGTAGCAAAAACCCCCAAGTATAAACAGGCCTTACGCGCATAGCCCTATTGCGAAACCAATGAAGCGCATAATTTATCTCACTTGCGGTTGTAAAAAGGAAATCCCAGACGGGATTCCCAAGAGTTGGGAAGAAACGTTGATTGTTTTACAAATTTATGCTTAAGGGGAAACTTATTAATTAACGGTAATTCCTACATGTTAAATATACTGATTTTCGAATTCTATGGAGGAGGATGTAGCTTCACAATAGAATATGTGAAGTTTCACATGTGGGACTTCTCACGTAAACCTTCAAACAGCGAAGATTTGGACGTGAACCCTGTGAGAACGTAAACGTCAAAAGGGGGAGTAAATGGGGCGATGCATCTATATATGTACATGTCTCGTCATGTATTGGCAAAGTTAAAAGGATGGTGTAGTATTTTTTCATAGCCGATTATCTCACCAATAGGAACATAGTTTTTAATTTTTTTTTGAATTCCACGCGGTTAAATTCAGTTTGCCCCTCTTTATATGAAAATGGCACGAAACAATAACGCTTTAATTAACCTCTTGATTACACTGCACTAATAGCTTGGGTCACATACACGCGCATAAATAATTATAAATACGATTGCGCGTGTCATATATAGCGAAGATTTTACCATTGACAACTCTATAACTGTGGGAGAGGAGAGGGGACCAGAGTAAAATGAAAACGGGCAACGCGATACAATTACAAACAATCCTGATGGAATTTTTTTTAGCTTCAGGCACATGTAGAAATGCAAATTGGTGGCATAGTTTCGACAGGACTGGTTGGTCCAAGTGTCCTGCTAATGTGCCTTATATACGTGGTTTGTACAGGAATAAAGCGTCGAGACCTAACCATGATTGGATATACCTCCTTGAAGCAGCTAGTTGTTGTGATGGTGGTAAACCAAATGCCGAATGTGTACAAGCCAATTGGGTGCACAGTTTTGACAGGTAATAATAATTTTTCACTAGTACTGCATATATCTTTTCGAACAATAACTTGCATTCACGCTAATAATAAAGCAAACTAATATGTTCGGCTGATCCCTGCGCAAAAAAATGGAGAACATCGCTATCTGGAGCCGGTTGTGTAAAAACGTCGTTAACTTTAATCATGATTAGTGGTAATTACTGTAGTGAAATCCTTAACTATGATTAATTAACTACTTGACTTAACCGCGTTGCAAAAAAAGTAGTTTGTCGAATGATTGACCAATCACGTAGTTAACTTGCGAGTGGCTTGCGTGGGGTTGTTTAACAGAGAAATAGGATGCATTAAGGTATCGAAATAATATTGACCGCTGTTGTAGATTTTTAACAAGACCGAGGACTCGTATTTACAAAAATTGACGGTATTTTGATCAGAAATATTGCAAAAAAATGCAATAAAAAAATGGAAAAGTTTAAAAAACATCCAAATAAATTAACGAATAAGGGGCTCTCAAAATAAAAAATTTAATATCCTTTTGAGTCAACCTAAAAGTTGCAGATGAAAATGGCGATGGCTATATAGTCTTTGCTAGGATCGTAATTCGGTTCGACACGTCTTCCGAAGCAAAAACATATCATGTTGCTGCCCAAATGACAAAAATAAAAACTTATTGAAAGTTGACAATCTTCGACGGGGCCTTTTCTGAGTGGATAACGGTTGAAAATGGGTATGTGTTGTCTTTAATGTTTATTCGCTCATCGAAAGTTCATGATGCCATTTTCAACTTCGTTTCGGAAAGTTAGCGATGCTTTTAAGAATGATTAAGTTTAACTACGTTTCCTCCGTGCCGATGCGGAGCGCAGAATAATATTTGGGCTCGTTTTTTTTTAATTCACCTTGGGACCAGGCCTGATTCAAGATGGCGGCCAGCCAGCTCTTAAGCAACGAATTTAATATTCCGCGAAACTTAAATTATTTAAATTTGATATTTAAATAGCCGGGCCAGAAACGAGAGATTAGAGAATCCTATGCGTAAAATGTTTTTCAACTGACGCTAAATCCAACATTGTCAAATTGCAAAATATCGCATTTCTATATAGATGTATGCAATTATGTCAAAGCAACTATAGTAAGAATAATGTTTAGCTGAAATAGCAGATTTAAATTCAAAAGGTATATTGTTTTGGTCGAAAAATTTGAGAATAATCTGTTTAATTAAAGAAGTAAGATCAAACTTAAATGTGGATTATATCACATAACGATCCCATATGCCACCGGAGTCGTAATCTTTGCGGTACAGTATACGAGCCACTCAATTGTGTTTGTTTCTATTTAAAGCAAATTCGTGCCGATGCAATTTCAAAAGGCCGTCACCCATCTATTGTGCGTGTCTTAATTCGTTAATTTTTGCTCTTAAGGCCCTGTCACACTGTTGCGTATCACATTAGCGTATGGCAGCGTATGATGAATATCACGCATACGCCGGAATACGCTGAAATATGCTGGTGGTACGTCGAGCGTAAGTTATACACGTTCCGAGCACGGTCACATACGCTGGTATACGCCGAGGAAGAAAATTTTTTTTAAGGCCCTGTCACACTGTTGCGTATGATAGGAACGTATGAGTCGCGTATAAAGATCATTTCATTCTTTTTTATACGCACGAAAAAGTCCGTAAAAATAGACATTTTGCATAAAATTAACTTATTAAACGTATGGGTATCGTAAGAGTAGCCTGTCGCTGGCGTATGCCAGCGTATGAACAGCTTACGAGAAGCGTTTGGAATGCGCATGTCAAGCATACCACTGGCGTTTCACAGACTTTAATCGTATGTAAGCGGCAGTATTTTCACACGGCTCCATTCGAGAAAATGTCAAACCTACAGTGAAAAAAGAAGAAGACACCATGGCAAATAAGAAGACATCATCTACCCGCGGACGAAGAAAAGGAAAGAGGACTCCATCATCAGCCGTTGCCAAAGCTGACGAACAACGTGTTTGTGCACCTGCAGATGTAGTTGAACCACCTGATGAAGATGCACTTATTCCTGAGACATCTTTAAATAATGCGCCACATGTTCCTGAGCTCTCAAAGTCCCCAACACAACCTTCCCAAGACTCCCATAATTCATCGGCTTTATCATCTGAAACCATTGATGACTTCACCTCCTTCCGGCGGGCTGATAGCAAGAAGAAAATTAGAGGAAGAGGGCGAAAAAAAACCCCCTACAACCTCAGCGCCACAGAAGAGGAGCTGATGCTGGAGTTTATCATGGACAATCCTGTGCTGTGGAATGTGAAGATGACAGATTATAGGCGAAAAGACAAGAAAGAGAAGATCTGGGAAGAGCAAGCACATCAGATGAATAAGACTGTTGACATCCTCAAGGGCTGGTTCAGATCGTTGCGCGACACCAATATACGCCTTGACAAGAAGAAAAGCGGGGATAGTGCTCCAAACCTGACTAAGAGAGAACAGTGGATCCTCTCAAAGTTTGCCTTCCTGAAGACTGTCACTCGCCACCGACCGGAGCCCATGCAGAGTGTAAGTATACAACCATATTACCTTAGCAACATGATAACCAAGTAATTTGAGACAATTTCCACATGATATTTTTGGTCTTTTTAGGTGAAGGAAACCATCCAGCTTCACAGAGGAGATCTCAATGCTGCCGAGAGCGCCTGCGCTGATATGCAGGATGTCTTAGATGAAGTCACTCCAATACCATCATCTACCGCTGGAAGGTCCCACAAGCGACCTCAGGACACAGAGAGTGACGTCCTTGAGACTCTACAGAAGAGAGTTGCTGAGTCTGGCACCATCCTCAAATACATCTACAAAGCCAAACAACAGCCCATTACAGCACGAAGTGTCTTTGCAAATTATGTTAAAGAGAGCCTTTTGACTATGTCCAAGTCCAAGTACAAGAAGGCAAGGTCCTCCATCAATAGGTTATTGTCTGAACTCATGGATGAGGACAGCGATGATGAATTTCCAAGTGCAATGGCGGCTCCATCTATCAAAGTAAACCAACAAGAGATCCCTTCTCAACCACCCCACGATTTGCACCCTACTACAAGTATTCCCTTCTGTTCATTTAGAGCATCAGCACCATCCTTCTCTGAGCATTATCAGAAACCTAGCAACATGCCTATAAACATGCCCCTGGCATCGTTGGTGAGAGGCTCTCAGTCCATGGAGTACATGCAGCAGTTTCACCAGCGGTTATTTCAGTATCCACATCATCACAAGACTACCACTAAACAACAGCAGATGATTCCTCCTTCCCAACAACTTGCTCAGCAACCGTTTCAGCAAACTCAGCAACAATGCACTCCTACCTCTGGCCCGGTTCGTGCCTCTTTGGCTTCTGCAACAGAGTTAATAACGGAAACGTCTAGCCCAACGCCGCACAGTCTAAGCTCAGCCTTTGAGCAAAGTCACCCGAACATTACTAGTCTTTCAGGATTTCGAGACATCATGGAATCTACTGATGATATTGGATTTCAGGATGAGGTTCTCAACCTTCAACCACCAACGTGAAAGAAGTATTGACTATAGACCACGGCGGCTGTATGGCTTCATCATTGTCTCTCGGAGGGCAAAGGCATCATCACCTACAAAGAAGTAGGGGACACTCTGATAGTCATTTGGTAAAGCATCGGGGATGGGGGATCCTATAGTTCCGTCTTCTGTTAATTCTTTGATTTCAGAGTTGTTGTAGATCTGTGCGTCCGATGATGACCCTTTACCACGGAGGTCTGCCTAGATGAATTTATAATCTGCGTCTACAAGGCCCATGAGTACAACAGAGTAGAATCCCTTGTAGTTGAAATATTGGGATCCACTTTTTGGTGGACACTTGCAGGTAATGTGCTTTCCATCTATAGCACCACATGTATGGGGGAAGTTCCACCTATTGAGGAACTTATCAGATATGGCACGCCATCCCTCTGGCGTGGTAGGGCAGGTCATTACTTCGGACAAGTATTCGTCGATGATTGCTTGGCAAACTTCTCTGACAATAAGTGACTGGGTGTTGTGGGGGACCCTCCATCCGTACTTCATGGCTGAATACGTGCTCCCAGAGGCAAGGTTTCGCAAAGTCAAAGAGAGCTTCAGCCCAGGCTCCAGGGGTTGCCTATACTAGGTATGTTTCTTGGTGATCCTGGGACTCACTCTTGCCAGAAGCTCATCAAACATCTCGGGGACCATCCGCATAAAGTTCTTAAAACATCGCGTATCCTCGCTTCGAAGTTCCACCAGAAGTTGGTCGTAAATGAACTGCCTTCGCCTTCCGATCCATGATCTCTTCCATACCTCACGTCTTTTTCTTTTTCCTTTTCTCCTTTTCCTTCTGTTATTTTCTATGTGACGAATCGTCAAAGCTATGAGATCAAACTGGTATTCAAGAACAGCTAACTCCATCCTTTATCCTCGAAGGTACAAGATGATATGAAGGCATCCAACATAAATATATATTATACACAATAAATGACATGCTATAATATTTATATACCCTTCCTCGTAACGTTTGCAATACTCTGAGGATACGACGACCAGGCGTTAAATATACACTAATTGTACGGTAAATGCGTTACTTAATCGTCAGTCATACGCTAAGCCCTCTATAGACGTTAAACATACGTCACACATAAGTTAGACCTTCGTTACTGATGCGCTATCAACACGTTAGTTGTACGGCACACTTACTCATTTGCGTATGATTAGCGTACTCAACCTATTAGTACAGTACATTTAGCGTCCTTCTGCCGTATTCAGCGTATGACTAGCTTATCTTTACCGTATAAACCATACGTCCAAACACGCACAAGATTTTTAAGCATGCTTAAAAAAAATTTTCTTCCTCGGCGTATACCAGCGTATGTGACCGTGCTTGGAACGTGTATAACTTACGCACGACGTACCACCAGCATATTTCAGCGTATTCCGGCGTATGCGTGATATTTATCACACGGTGCCATACGCTAATGTGATACGCAACAGTGTGACAGGGCCTTTAAGCATGCTTAAAAATCTTGTGCGTGTTTGGACGTATGGTTTATACGGTAAAGATAAGCTAGTCATTCGCTGAATACGGCAGAAGGACGCTAAATGTACTGTATTAATAGGTTGAGTACGCTAATCATACGCAAATGAGTAAGTGTGCCGTACAACTAACGTGTTGATAGCGCATCAGTAAGGTCTAACTTATGTGTGACGTATGTTTGACGCCTATAGAGGGCTTAGCGTATGACTGACGATTAAGTAACGCATTTACCATACAATTAGCGTATATTTAACGCCTGGTCGTCGTATCTTCAGCGTATTGCAAACGTTACGAGAAAGGGTATAATTATAAATATTATAGCATGTCATTTTTTGTCTATAGTATATATTTATGTTGGATGCCTTCATATCATCTTGTACCTTCGAGGATAAAGGATGGAGTTAGCTGTTCTTGAATACCAGTTTGATCTCATAGCTTTGACGATTCGTCACATAGAAAATAACAGAAGGAAAAGGAGAAAAAGAAAAAGAAAAAGACGTGAGGTATGGATGAGATCATGGATCGGAAGGCGAAGGCAGTTTGGCATTTACGACCAACTTCTGGTGGAACTCCGAAGCGAGGATACGCGATGTTTCAAGAACTTTATGCGGATGGTCCCCGAGATGTTTGATGAGCTTCTAGCAAGAGTGAGTCCCTGCAGGATCACCAAGAAACATACCTGGTATAGGCGACCCCTGGAGCCTGGGCTGAAGCTCTCTTTGACTTTGCGACACCTTGCCTCTGAGAGCACGTATTCAGCCATGAAGTACGGATGGAGGGTCCCCCACAACACCCAGTCACTTATTGTCAGAGAGGTTTGCCAAGCCATCATCGACTTGTGGTGCTATAGATGGAAAGCACATTGCCTGCAAATGTCCACCAAAAAGTGGATCCCAATATTTCAACTAAAAGAGACTCTACTCTGTTGTACTCATTGGCCTTGTAGACGCAGATTATAAATTCATCTGGGCAGACCTCGGTGGTAAAGGGTCATCATCGGACGCACAGATCTACAACAACTCTGAAATCAAAGAATTAACAGAAGACGGAACTATAGGATTCCCCATCCCCGATGCTTTACCAAATGACTATCAGAGTGTCCCCTACTTCTTTGTAGGTGACGATGCCTTTGCCCTCCGAGAGACAATGATGAAGCCATACAGCCGCCGTGGTCTATAGTCAATACTTCTTTCACGTTGGTGGTTGAAGGTTGAGAACCTCATCCTGAAATCCAATATCATCAGTAGATTCCATGATGTCTCGAAATCCTGAAAGACTAGTAATGTTCGGGTGACTTTGTAGTGGGGTGCAAATCGTGGGGTGGTTGAGAAGGGATCCCTTGTTGGTTCACTTTGATAGATGGAGCCGCCATTGCACTTGGAACTTCATCATCGCTCTCCTCATCCATGAGTTCAGACAATAACCTATTGATGGAGGACCTTGCCTTCTTGTACTTGGACTTGGACATAGTCAAAAGGCTCTTTTTAACATAATTTGCAAAGACACTTCGTACTGTAATGGGCTGTTGCTTGGCTTTGTAGATGTCTTTGAGGATGGTGCCAGACTCAGCAACTCTCTTCTGTAGAGTCTCAAGGACGTCACTCTCTGTGTCCTGAGGTCGCTTGTGGGACCTTCCAACGGTAGATGATGGTATTGGAGTGACTTCATCTAAGACATCTCAGCGCTCTTGGCATTGAGATCTCCTCTGTGAAGCTGGATGGTTTCCTTCACCTAAAAAAACCAAAAATATCATGTGGAAATTGTCTCAAATTACTTGGTTATCATGTTGCTAAGGTAATATGGTTGTATACTTACACTCTGCATGGGCTCCGGTCGGTGGCGAGTTACAGTCTTCAGGAAGGCAAACTTTGAGAGGATCCACTGTTCTCTCTTAGTCAGGTTTGGAGCACTATCCCCGCTTTTCTTTTTGTCAAGGCGCGTATTGGTGTCGCGCAGCGATCTGAACCAGCCCTTGAGGATGTCAACAGTCTTATTCATGTGATGTACTTGCTCTTCCCAGATCTTCTCTTTCTTGTCTTTTCGCCTATAATCTGTCATCTTCACATTCCACAGCAAAGGATTGTCCATGATAAACTCCAGCATCAGCTCCTCTTCTGTGGCGCTGAGGTTGTAGGGGTTTTTTTTCGCCCTCTTCCTCTTATTTTTCTCCTTGCTATCAGCCCGCCGGAAGGAAGTGAAGTCATCAATGGTTTCAGATGATAAAGCCGATTAATTATGGGAGTCTTGGGAAGGTTGTGTTGGAGATTTTGAGAGCTCAGGAACATGTCGCGCATTATTTAAAGATGTCTCATGAATAAGTGCATCATGATCAGGTGGTTCAACTACATCTGCAGATGCACAAACACGTTGTTCGTCAGCTTTGGCAACGGCTGATGATGGAGTCCTCTTTCCTTTTCTTCGTCCGCGGGTAGATGATGTCTTCGTATTTGCCATAGTGTCTTCTTCTTTTTTCACTGTAGGTTTGACATTTTCTCGAATGGAGGCGTGAGAAAATACTGCCGCTTATATACGATTAAAGTCTGTGAAACGCTATTGGTATGCTTGACATGCGCATTTCAAACGCTTCTCGTAAGCTATTCATACGCCAGCGACAGGCTACTCATACGATACTCATACGTTTAATAAGTTAATTTTATGCAAAATGTCCTATTTTTACAGACTTTTTCGTGCGTATAAAAATGAATGAAACGATCTTTATACGCGACTCATACGTTCCTATTATACGCAACAGTGTGACAGGGCCTTTATATGCAAATTCAAAACACCAAACAATTTCAAAAGATCATTCAATGACTAATAATACGTATACCTTAAGTGTAGTGTTTTCATGTGTATTGTTTTCGTGACTGATCATGATGTTTTTATCTGTGTTATTTGAAATTTTTACGACACATTCTACCGACGAGATCTTTCGTAAGCCAAAAGTAAAAAACCCCGAAAATTTCAAAATTATAGGCAAATATAAAAAATTTCTTATTAACAAAACCAATATTTAGATGGAGGCGATTATAAAAGTTACCGTTGCTGTAAATAACTCCAATGGCAGTAGGGAGTGGGGGGTGTTTGTATGGGGTCATTTCAACAGTCAAATTTGACATCCTTAGACATTTAGTTTATATTTCTATCGAACTTACTCATGAACAAAAAATCTCGATTATACAATACAAAAATGGGAAAACCAAATAACCACACGTAATAATTAAGGCTTCTGAAATTTCATTTTACAACGCGCACCTCCCGACTCCCGCTCTTCCGCTTGCCACCCATTTTCATGCATGATACTTGCCACTAAAAAAATCTGTGGAGGAGATTCGGCTATTTTGACTATCCGTCTTTTTATCTTAAAGAAAACGGATTCATTTGGACATCTTTTCTGTCAAAATTGAAAGCAAACAATATACGGCTATATGCGCGAAATCAAAAGCATTTATTACACCCGTACTAGCGAATTTGCACAAATGCTAATAATAGGAAGGCAAATGTTTTACAAATTACAATATATCATGATGTAAAAAAAGCACAAACCTGCCTTTTTAGTGTGAAGATGCTGCCTGGATAGATAACAGCGCGGTTGATATAAGCTGTAACAGGACTTGATCGAAACAGTGACAAACTTGAAAAAATGGCATACACGTGCGCTAGTCTAGCTGTTCTTATGTTCGCCTGTAATGCCAAAACTAGACTACTCTATTCGGATCAATTTATTAATCCTCTTATTTCTTACGGAACTTTAGTTACCAGGTATTTTCACTTCAATTCGATTCTATTCCATATTCACGGCATTTACAGGCACAATAACTGGAACCTATGCCCATCAGGATATTACCTCTCCGGACTTTATCGCTCACATGGTCATAACCTGCACAATATTGAGCATGCGTGGTGCTGCAAACCTCGTGGAGCCCCGAATTCTTACAAATCATGCTACCATGAAAATGTTTGGACGAGATTTGACTGGAACAAGAAAGGAATGATATCGTGTTCCAGAAAAGGTCACTTCATCACTGGTCTTTACAGATCTACCTGTAACTTTATGTATTGCATTGAACTGTTTAAATGCTGCCAATTGCATGAAGGAGGTATGTAATATCTAGTTCACGTAATACAGCATTTGCGTAATACAGCAGTCACAGAGTCAAAGAGAAGAACATTAAAATGACTGGTAACTATTTCAATAATGCAAAAGAACTATACAATAGCGCTAATTGAACTTCAATTCAATTGTGCTAGTACGGAATTAAGTTCCACAAAAACACCTTCGTTTCGTTCTATTTATTTTCACCGGCTTTATGGAATAATTATATAATATGGCGTTGTTTTTAACCCCGCACTAGTACAATTGATGTTGTCCAATACAGTCAAATATACATACGACCCGTACGTCACGCAAAATTGAATGAATGTAATCGACCCGTACGTTTCGTTTCGTTTCGTTTCGTTTCCTTTCGTTTCGTTTCGTTTCGTTTCGTTTCGTTTCGTTTCGTTTCGTTTCGTTTCGTTTCGTTTCGTTTCGTCTCGTCTCGTCTCGTTTTGTTTTGTTTTGTTTTGTTTCGCCTTATACTAATCTTATTCTTTCAAATAATCACATTTTATGTATAAATCGAACTTTGTTATTTCGAATGTGTTCCCTTTAAGCGTGATAAGAATTGTTGTTTGCTTCTTTTTTTATAAAAAGATATTCAATGCATGGTTGCTAACTTGCTGGGAGATATGGATTTATTTTTTCTGTTGGCAAACGAGTTGTTAATATTCTCAACAAGTTCCATATTTCCGCGCAACCATTTTCTATTGTCTGGTTTACACATGTTCAGTCTCACATAAACTATGCCAAAAATTACAAACATTTGAGTAAATAGTGCTAATAGAGAACACATTGAACCGTCTAAACGATTATCTGTAACGAGTGTAAAATTTTCTTATAGATGATATAGCAACATGCAGCGCAACAGGTGACCCCCATTACCGAACCTTCGATGGAAGGCTCATCCACTTTCAAGGAATATGCCAATATGTTTTGGCAAAAGATATTCACAATAGATTTGTGGTGCTTGGAAAGAACGAGAATTGCGGACATGGAGTTACATGCACAAAAGAAGTCACCGTAAAAGTGAACAATCTTGTCATTGTTATCGCACGTGGAGGAACTGTTACAGTTTTTGGAGTTAAAGCTAATTTGCCATACAACCATCGAGGTAATAATGCTAATCAGCTTTGGCCTAAGCAATTAGAAATAAATTTTCATAGTGACTTCTTTTGTGAAATTCTTCTAGTAAATTCTTCTAGTTTTTTCTGCTCGCCTAAACATTCACAAAAGCTTTCGCGGTAAAGAAAATGAAAGCTAGCGAAAAAAAAAGCAACGTGGAGGCAGGAAAATGATTGGCAATCTACAATTCTAAGACATGTCCTTGGCAGGAATGCATGATTTATGCAAATAAAATATCGATATATAGTGAAAAACAATAATGAAACATCTTATCAACAAAATTCTGATCTAAAACTTCCCCATTACATTATACAAATACACGCTGACCTTTCCTAGCTAACCTTGTTAATATAAGTTAGTCAATTTACGCCACATCGTTATTTTTTGTGGCTTTTATCAGTTTTTCGAAAATTTTTAAAATATTCTCTTGTGCAACATTGTGAGCAATCTCAAAAGACTACCATTACAAGAATAATAAACAACAATGTTATAATGATTCGTATTTCATATATGATTTATCGAGCGTGGTTCGTGGTAAGAAAAATTTGTGTGTTAATATTAATTTTTATTCATATGGCTGATTAGTTATACTGAGTTTGATGCTTTAAGTTTAACACAAAAAAAGAAGAGTATTAGACATTCATTTTACCTTAGCAACAACACGAAAAGGAAACTCAAATTTACATGTACATGCGAACTTGCAAATCCACGGGAGAACGCATTTTCAATAATATTACCTGTTAGTTTTTATGCAAAAAATAGGCATCATGATTAAATGTTGAATTTATGATACATTTATATGGTAGCAAAGGGCACAGGCTGCCCCCGCTGTCCCCGTGGTTCTGGCGCCGCTGAATAGGCCTTCCCCGATTGGTTTCGGCAACTTTTAAGCAACTTTTAAAATTTGAATAACTGTTCCGGTTTACAGCTACCTGGACCAACTTTTGCTTTTTTTGAGTAACAGGAAACAACTTTTACGGTGATATATTATCCATACTGATAATTGCGTACTAATTATTAAATGAAATCTCGACTACTAAAGTATTTATTTATTCACTAGCACAATCGGGGGAGGGGGGCTAGAAAGAACTTCGATAGCGCTTTCATGCGGTTAAGAAGTCAAATTTTTGGGTGCAAAAAAATGAGTTGCAACTTTTTAGGTAAAAAATCTGTCTTTCCTGGACGCGTTCTCCCTGTTTTTTCATCTAAACAGTTCATGGTGAATGTTCTTGGCGAATTTTTAGCATTTAACACTAAATGCTACTCCAATTTGGCCTTCAAGAGCCGTAATACGATTGCACAAGTTGCCGATTGCACCTGATTTTAACATTAATTAATTGCACTCGAAACTATATTAATAAATTATTCCCATATATTAATGTACTTTAAGAGTGGGTGTTTTGCCGAACTTTACGTTAACAAGACTAATCCATTTCTACAACCAGGTGTGACGATCGCGAGACATGGAAGAAACGTTATAGTCGACACAAATATTGGCTTGAAAGTGGATTACGATTGCGTATACAACGTCTTCATCAAAGTTACGTCTACATCGAAATTAAGTTATCGAGGGAAAACTCGCGGGATTTGTGGGAGTAATAGTGACAACCCGAATGAACTTCGCAAGCCTGACAATAGTCTCACCACAAATGATCAAGATTTTGCTAACTCCTGGAGTGTTGATAGATCATGCCCGAACGCGCCTCCACCAACAAATCCTTGTAAGACAGCTGGCCATCAAATAGCCGAACAGGCGAGGAAGAAATGTGAATTACTGAAACGTTTTCCCTTCTCGGCATGCCATCACAAAGTTAACGTTCACTCAGGTTTCGTCCAGGATTGCGAGTATGATGTCTGTGCTTGCAAGGAGCATCCCTCAGCGTGCGCATGTGAAGAATACGCTGCCTACGCCACCACTTGTGGTTTTGCAGGAGTCAACATCAAGTGGGAACATCTTCCACAATTCCATCATTGTAGTAAGTTCATGCAATGACGCAGAATATTGATATTTTTGTGCACGCATTCGTTAATCGTCACCTAAAAAACAAGAGTATAATGAAAAACCTGTCGACGGAATTTAGATTTTTATTATTGCAATATTAACGAAATGACTCATTGTTTTATTTTTTATCCAGAGAGCCCCTGTGCTTCTGCTCCTTGTTTAAATGGTGGTACTTGCAGAAATGTTGGTAGATCTTATCAATGTAACTGCCCTTCCGGTTACAAAGGTTCTCGATGTGAAAGAAAAAGTGAGAAAAGCCAATATGTAGTAATTTATTTAGTGAAATAAAACGAGCCCAGCCGAGACAAATTTTATCTCGTCAAATTTAATAATTTAGCTCTATCCGATTTCTCGCCATTTTAGCTTGCCGTAATTCTAAAGCATTAGGAATGGAAAGTGGAAAGATACCAGATTCACGAATAACGGCATCTTCGGAATGGGATTCCAACCACGGCGCATCCAATGCACGGTTAAATTTCGCTAAGAATTCTGGATCATGGTCATCAAGATATAATAACCAAAACCAATGGCTGCAGGTTGATTTCAAATATCGTGCAACAATTACTGAAATTTGGACTCAAGGCCGTGGCAGGCACAGGCAGTGGGTGAGAAGTTATACTGTGTCTTTCTCTAATAATGGCCTAAATTTCAAAACTTACGGAGGAGGCAGGCAAGGAAAGGTACAGTAAAGCTATTTTGGATAATATTAAATTTGTCATAACATAGCCATTTTCTTTCATATAAGTAGGCTTCAGTTAAGTCACTTCTTAATTTTGTGACATGCACGTTGTGACCGTGAAAAAATAACTAAATAAAATCATATGCTTCACATAGCAGAGAATGTGTAACATCCGCGTGTAACGTTTATTACGCCTCATCGGACTGACTTTATCAAACAAAATGAACGAACATGGCCTTCTGAAAGCATAGAATGTCACTGAATAATTATATTCAACGGAAAGTCAACTTGTGCGAATGTTGACAGTGTTTCTTCAGATTATAATTATGTAAAATTTGTTGAATGAATCTTAGGGGCTGCTTCCCAGTTACGCATTTTTTTACGCGCAGAGAATGCTTCAAAATTTTTATTATTTAAGGTAAACCTTGGCCTTACTCGGTCACGTGGCACTTTTAAAGATTTTTTCGATTTGGTTATTGTGTTCACGTTCTCAGCTCTTCAGAACATTTCGTTCGGAAGCGAACGGCCACTGGGAAGGTATTTTTTCCCTTGCGGTCGTGTGCGGTTTCTATCGGTCGACCGCAACCGAACCGACACCGAACCGGAACTGCCGTGTTAGTCTGGGAAACCGCATTGCGCATTTGCTGACTAAAGTTACGCTTTTGGATATAACGGTTGTGGCCGCGAAAAATATTAAACAAGGCTGTTTTTGCCAATACAATACTATTCAAAATAATATTATGGATTTTCAGGATATGTTTTTTCCAGTAGTAATTTTCAGACATTTTACATTGAACCAATTACTCTTTTACATAGAATTCAGTTTTTGAGAAATAATATTAAAAAAACGTTGTTATATCGAACTTGTTTTGTTGTTTTAGGTCTTCAATTCGAACAATGACGAAAGGAGCATTGTTAAAAACGCAATCCATCATGTTATCGTCGCTCGGTTCATTCGAATCCATCCTATATCTTGGCATCACCATATTTCCATGCGAGTTGAATTCATTGGTTGTTTCATAGGTACATAGGTTTGCATGTTGATTGTTCTAGTAATTCACATTGCTGTTAAGAATATAAATCTTTACCATTATAACCAAGGATAGATTGACAATTAATCATAATTATAAATTCTGTTCTTAAAAACAACCCAGGCAAAACAAAACCTTTAAGCTCCAAGTTCCTCCGCGTTCTTTTTCAGTAGCGTAGCCGGCCAGATATACGATCATTTGTATGATTCATATAATTTATTGCATACAATCATTCCAGGCCAACCATGTGCAAGAGAACCATGCCGTAATGAAGGAAAATGTGCTCATGTTGGCGGAAGAGCTGTATGCTCCTGTCTCCCAGGATATCGTGGCAATAGATGTGGACAAAGAGGTACTTTCGATTGCACGATTCGCATAATGCACTCGATGTGAATGATTGCAATATACACGGCGGTACCAGTACTTCCGGTGATCAACGTGTGCGGGGGATTGGGGCCTAAGTTCAAAGTTTTCAAATTTTTGAAAACACATTTGTGGTAAAACTTGGGTGATTCATGCCAAAAAAAAAGTAACGAGGCCAATTTGTTACTCTTGAGATCATGAGAGATTTATCGCAAGTTTAACTTTCGAAATACTTATACACTTCATGTTCACACGTTCTTGTGTTTTAAAAAGCTTGCGGTGAAATTTGAACGGATTCAAAGTTGTCGAATGTCAACTTTAGTCTTCGCATTGTTACAGTCAAACGAAGTACAAGCAAGCACAAGGAAAAACGTGCCATGAACTTGCGTCTTCGTTTGATCCGGGCTTAAGATAAAAGTTATTCCGAATAGATTCATTGCATTATTAAACAATTTTAACAAATATACAATCAAATTAATTTAAATTCTATATTTTGATTTCAATCTAACGCCTGTATTCTAAAAGCTCATTCACCCTAAAACTCATTGAGTAGGCCATCTTTATTTTCTCATAGAGGTATTACAGTCGAATAAAAGCTTGATTCTCAGTGTTTAACCTTGAATGTTTGCAATGGTTAAGAAAAAACGTTTTCATTGATCAGTGAAAAAAATAAAATTTGTATGTCACACTCAACGAGGTGGAGTGTGAGCAGGCTTTTTGAATACAGGCGTAAGTCATGTTCAGGAGATAAAAATTTCCAAAAGTAAACTGCTTTTCAATTATTTTATCAATTTTCAAATTATTCACATCAGATTGCAGACATGCGAAGCGTCTTGGCGTGGAAAATGGCAAAGTATTAGACTCCCAATTATCAGCTTCGTCAGAATGGAACTTCAACCATGGGGTATTGAACGGCAGACTGAACTTCAAGGCTCATGGTCACCGGCAAGGCGCTTGGTCGTCAAGGCATAATAATCACCACCAATGGTTTCAGGTGAATTTCGGACTTCAGGCCACTGTGACTGAAATTCTTACCCAAGGACGCAGCAATTACAATCAGTGGGTGAAGAGCTATTTCGTGTCTTACAGCAAGTACGGCCTGGATTTCATCACCTATCGCGTGAATGGTCTTGTGAAGGTAAAATTGTTTAGTAATCATTTCCAATTTCCAATATTACACGCACGTAAGTAATGTACGGTAACATGGGCAGAAATTTATGCCCGACTGATTTCTTTGGAAAGCTATTGTTATACTACGGCATAAAACATTGACGTTAATAGATCGGCATGAAACAAAAGTTTGAAGTAGATAGATACGTAGAACCACTTTCTCCAGAACACACCATGTAGAATGCACACCTTTCATTCACACACCTTGACAAAGACACATCTGGCTATATCTATAGCACATCAATGGGAACACACCTTTTTTAAGTGTACACTGACAAAGACGAACACCACTTGAAACCCAATCTCTCAACCTTTAACGGGTTATAATCAAACGTTTTAAACGCAGGTTTTCAATGGCAATAACAACAGAAACACCATTGTTCGCCAAATAGTCTCTCCTGTTATTGTTACTCAATACATCCGCATCCATCCGAAGTCATGGCATGGCCACATATCAATGAGGGTTGATTTTGCCGGCTGCCAAAAAGGTACATACGTATATTCTCAGCACAAAATATGAAGCAAGGCGGACGATCGTAAAGTGTGCGGGGGGGAGAGTGCTAAAATTCATATATTCGTGTTGGCAGACAATTAAAACAAAAATAACCAACACTGCTGAACGTGAATATATGAATATTAGCCAAATAACAATCTTACGCCGTGTTTGAAGATCTAATTAAAAGCTTAATTAACTCAACCAAATTTTGTTATCGTTCCAGTTTAATTGTTTACAGTTCAATGCCCAGAAATGACAGATAGGTCGTGCATGGTTTTATAGCTTGTATGTTTTGGTTGCAGCTGCTTCTGTTGGACTTCATTTAGGATATTTCAGCAGTGCAACTGGCCAAACCTTTACTCTTTGCCTATTACAGGCTCTCCGCAGTTTTTCTCGTTTTCAGACCGAATCAGTTTTTACTTTGTTTAAGTTGATCTACAGTGTACAAAAATAACCTAACACTGCGGTTGCGGTTTGATTGCGGTTCGATTGCAGTGGACCGATAAAAAGCGCAAGGGAAAAAATACATTCGCAGTGGCCGTTCGCTTCCCAACGAGATGTTATGAATAGCTGAGAACGATAACACAATAAGCTAGCAAATCGAAAAAATCTTAAGAAATGTCTGTCAGACCGAGATAGACCAAGGTTTAACTTCCGTTTAACCGCGGTTCGACCTCGGTTCAACCGCGATCAGACTAAGGTTTGACTAGGTTAACCGCGGTTTTTGTTAGATTATATTATTTTCTGGACAGTATACTGTAAAACGAGTTGTGTTAACTTTCTTCATGTTAAAAGCCTTTTCTGTGTGTTTTAAAAGAGTGGCCGTGTAAAAGGAGACCTTGCCGCAATGGTGGTACATGTTTGGATTATGGTGCCGGTTACCGGTGCGCTTGTGCTCAAGGTTGGGCATGCCGAAACTGTCAATGCGACGTTGGTAAGCAAATTTTTGTTTACAATACATATTTACAGTGAATTCTCATTTTCACAGCTAAAGTAGGCGCGCGTATCACTTTCAGCCGTGCTTTGGCTTTATATTGGTAGCCTGGACCAACTGACCAAACTTTGTACGGATGCCAATTTTAACTTTACCGTGTCAATGTAGTGTACACGGGGCTCAAACTGTCAGGCTGGCTACGCTATTGCTATTAAAGGTCTAGGATTGCAGTAATTGGTGTAAGCTTTTGCGTTTCCCTGCCTGCTGTTTGTGTCATTTACTTATGTTCATTTTTTTATTGTTTTTACCTGGCAAAGTTAATCATTAAATTGAATTAAATTAACGCCCGTTTTCCTCAACTAGGCGAATTTATTTGCGCGATCTGACATCTGAAATCCGGTGATTTGATTGGTTTGCGAAAAAATTCGCAGCGAGAAAGTAAAATCGCTTCCTACTTTTTATCAGTTTGCGCGAATAATTTCGCCCGGTGCAAAACGAATTTAACGCTGGAAATTAGACTCACGGTGAAACTAACAGTAACAGCATACATGCATTGCTGTGAATCCACCTGCCAAAATGACAACAAATACTAAAGTAACCCTTAAACTACCCATAGTTTAAGTAGCAGACACATTAAAATCGCTTGGGACTCGTGGTCAAAGTAACAATTGGTATATATAAATAACAATTGGTATAAGCCTCTTGTGTTAACACAATATGGCATAACCGTTAACCACAGTCAAAGCGCCGTATATTGACACTCGCGTTAAAAATATATAAAGTTTTAAATAACGGCCGATTTATTTACATGCTTCGCTTTATATTTTCTTTAAAATATAATATAAAATAAGCATATTCATCACAGATCACAGCCGGTCGAGCGAGAAGAAAATAAGAAAATTAAAAGGACACAATCGGTCACATTCGTCATGTAAAGATTATATAACCAACGTAAACAAACATTGTTATGCGCAGAATATATGCGCAGAACGGACTTTACATCATCTTTAAACATGCTTTTATGTGATGTTTACAACACGGGCGGCAATAGAATGAATCCGTATAATTAAAACGATCAGTTACAAACACTAAAGTGGTTGTATTTTTTCGCTACATGCAACAACAACTAGTGTTTGTAACTGATTTGCATATTTATCAATCATAGTTGTATTTGGTGTAAAGCTAGGGTGTGCATGTGACCTGGGTATAAACCTCGTCAATTGTTCATGAATCTCAAAAAACTATACACACAAGCATTGTGAAATATATTTTACATTCAGTTTTTTTATAAGTATAACTATACTCGGAATTGGTAAAAACGACGTTAATTTACTAACCTTACTTTAATATAACAAGGGAAATACTTGATGTAATTTTCTGTTTTTGTAGGAAAATGTATTCCAAGACACCAAGAAGAGTAAATTAATACCACCAAACGATACGCAGCAAAAATTACCATAATTAAATTAGTTTTAAGGACATTATTAAATGTGTGTCAGGTATTCTTATAGATTTGAAATAAAGTAATGTTTGCAGCTCGCAAGATCTGCCATCGATTGATTGTCTCAAAGCTTTAGCATTTTTTCCCGATTGATAAAATCGTTTAAAGCTTTCTAGCAAGTGTCGACCAAGTTTTCAACTTTGTTATTTGAGGTTGTTTTTTTTCGATAAGAAAAGTTCAAACGTATAAGAGCTAGATAAGAAAGTTCGCAAAAAGTTAAGCTTCTTTGCTCCATTTAAATTGTAAAGTTAATCCTAAATTTCATGCAAATATTACATGGGAACATGAAAACTTCACTACCTGCGACATATTTTTTTTAGTAAAACGCATCTCAAATCAAAGTTCGGAAAGTGTCCGTGCATTGTTCATTTGAGAAACAGAATGTGTTAGACGAAAAATTTATTAACATGCAGTCACCATGCCACTTTTTGAATTTACTGGCCGTTTTTATTCTAGTCTTTTTTAGAGAGCAAGTTTATTATGCGCTCTGCTATATGGCATTATATATGGACAAACTTTAAAGTTTTACACTCTTTTCATACCCACTATTTCGCGGCCTTGGGAAACGTTCAGGACAGCTTTATAATCCCAATTAATAACGCGCAGGATTGAAGCAATCGCAGACGCTTTCAGCGGTGTTTGTTTTTGTAGAGGTTAGCTATGTTGTTGTGGTTTTCAAAAATACACAAAATGCAGGATTCATTTTATTTCGATTGTATGCTTAACATTTGGAGACAACGGAGGTAGGTTTCATCTCATTGCAATTATGTATTATATCGTAGTAAGTAAATTGAAAATCCCTCTATACAGGGTGTATAAAAAAAAGTAGACAATTGTTAAAACGTCCATAAACTGAAAATTTCGCAAAATGTCTGAAGAACGTGTGTTGATCTAGGTATTTTAGGGTCGCTTCACCACTTTAACACTCAAATTGAATAAAAAAAATTATATCGACATGTAGGAATGGTTATTTTCAAACACCACCTAAGACAACTCTCGCGCACAAAAATGACGGTTTAAATATTAATTCATTATCATTGGGTGAAAGTTTGGGTAATGTTTTATAAACTATAAAAGTTCCAGACAATTTAGTGTACATTAAATCCGCCGCACGGCCTCTCGAACTTGGACTTTTTTGCTATTTTGGCCTTTCCCACATATTTTTTGCAGCTCACAAATGATTTCACGCATGATTAATTTTTGTGTGCTTGAGACAACAATGCTATTGTTTCCCTATTGTCAACCATAAATGGTATTAAGATCTTATAATGTAAACAAATTTAATTAATAATTTACATGCAAGGACGAAACGTAAAGGCAAAACAGAGCGGCATTTTTTACAAGAATTTATTTACAGTCAACGTTCTTTTATTCCTCAACATGCCCTCCATCTCTTTCCACACAAAGAACCTTTGGTCTGTCCTGTCTGAGGCCATTCATGATCAACATCGCGATTTTAAGCAAAAACTCGGTCTCCAAACAGTTCGCCCAAACGCTCGGAAACGACTCGTCTCCTGTGACATGGTGCACCATCTTGTATCCACCAAACACGCCGAAACTGACCATTCATGTTCTGACGGAAACGACGTATTCGTTGTAAGGCAGGGACTACTTGCTCGTTAATCATTTGCAGGTAATTCTCACCGTCTAAATTTTGTCGAAAAAAGAAAGGTCCAATGATGCTTCCGTTACCCATTAAGCCAACCCAGACATTTACTTTATGTCTATCGTCATTGCGTTGATATTCGAAATCCAGGGGTTGTTCGCCTCGTTGAGTGTATGCTCTGATGTTGTGGGTGTTGCATGTCCCTATCAATATATATATACAAATATATATATACAAATATATATATATATATATATATATATATATATATATATATATATATATATATATATATATATACACCCATTTGCAAAAACGTTGGCCGCAGATAGATAGATAGATAGATACTCGAAGTCTAATTAGAATTGCATATGATAACATTTGCATGGGATTTCAATCATATTACACAACATATGCAATTCTAATTAGATTTCGGGTATCTATCTATCTATATATCTGCGGCCAACGTTTTTGCAAACGGGTGTATATATATATATATATATATATATATATATATATATATATATATATATATATATATATATATATATATATGTGTTTGTCAATGAATGTTCTCCGGAAAAACAGTTGTTCGAAAGGCGTTTAACTTAAACGACAGATTACTTCACAATGAAAAACACACTTATATATTTCTTGAACAATTGATCTGAAATATTTTGATGTAAATAGTTCAATTTTCAATTGAAGTAACTACTTTTTTAATTCATATGATGTAGGATCAGCCATACACAAGATGCACGATGTTTCACTTATCCACCATTTAACCTAAACGCCTTTCGGAGCAGAAAATATGCAATGGTGCATTTGAACAACTTTGGCGAACTCCGTTTCAGCGTTGTATTATGCACATAAACTTGTGTTCATTTAACAACGCATGGTGGTATGTTTTATATTGGGGAAGATAAACAAAAAATAAAAAGTTCTGTTTAGTTACTTTGGTTTGTGTTTGCTTGTACTCCAGCAGAAACAATTGACAGTGCTTCCCGATACAAGTCTATTCCATGGTTGCCATCATCAGCAAGTGGGTTTACTAACAATTGCAATTGCAGCATCTCGATTGCTTCAGGAGATATAGAAGATCTCGGTACTACAACGCGATTTTCTGTCTGCAGTTCCCTATAACAGGGGCTTCATCATCAATACCATACTCGTTGGGATTAAGCGGAATTCCCAGTAACGAGTTCTGCACGATTATACCTGAAGAATTCGCGTTTAGGAAATGACCTTCAACCTATGATTGCACATAGGTGATTGGCGTTGTTGGTTACGGATGCTGTGGTTGTTCCATTCTAGAATGAACTCTTGTAAGCTTCTATTTATGCGTGGCTGGTAAACATAAATTACATAATGTAACGCGTAGAAACGTTTTTAGTAAAACAGGTTTCTGTAACATCTTGTTATACATTTTCGTTTAAGTCACGCCATAGCCGCTCGATTCTTTGATTATGTACGGAAGATCCCGTTATCACGTGGTTCCCTTGTGTTCCGTGGTAATTAAGGATAAATCGAGCGACCTCTATATTCTCGGTTCCTTGATCCATTCGATCTCTCAACGGCATACTGCACAATCCGACTGCTTAAGTGAAAAGCTGTAGTACAGTGGCACCTGTATTGTTCGTGTTGCACTTTAGGTACGTTATACATCTGGAATAGCCGTCAATACACCCATGAATAATGAACCGCCACCTGATCAATTTATGATTACAATCTCGGTGCCAGTATATTGTGAAAAAAATTGAAAAGAACAACTTAAATAATGCAAATATAACTATATACTCGAGTATATTCTTGCTTTGCAGAATTCGCCTAAGGAGTAATTATTGATGCTATGCCAAAGTTTGTGTTCCTATTTTAATTGCCTCCACTCTTGAGAGACTTTATGTTACTTTTCTAAATGATCTTGCTTTACTGGACCAACAGGCACTAGAAGACACATTAAATTGTGCTTACAATTACAATCCAATTACCTACCACAGGAAATTAGGTGAATGCACATTATATATCCTTCTAACTATTGCTCCTTGACGACGTAATGCTTTTCCAACAGGATCTACTCTATTTATCGATTGACGAACTCGGTGCCTTTGAACATAGGCCACGACACCGCAAAGCGCCAAAGGTCATGGTTTCTCCAGCGTTAGGTGTACGGGATACAATTTGCCTCACAACATCATCAAGGTCGTCATCTCTTATATCTGAAAATCATAGTCACTTTCTCCCACGGACCATCACAGTTCAATCCTTCTTCTACGCAATGTACGTTCAGACACCATCAATAGGTTTGCAATCGACACCTATCTAAACCCAATACTTCTTAGAGACCAAAGCATTCCTTCGGGAATGTCGAACTTTCATGGTCGATCAATGTTACCATTTCTAAGTCGGCTACAACGATATCGTTAGGAACTTGTAAACGGTCCTTCAAGATAATGTATCCGATTTTGAAAATGTGTTAAATGATTAATGAAAATTTCTTGCAGCATGGCCACATGTCTGGTAACGTTTGAGTTAGTTCTTGCTAAAATACGCAGAATTCTAATTATTTCGTCAAGGCGCCTGCTGTATACTTCACAAATGTCAATGTCATCCGTTAGTCTGTGAGCATCACATTCTTCATTTAAAATCGGCAATCCTTGCAGAATCCTTTCTATTTCTCCCTCCATGCATATTTCGACGATATTGTTATTGCTTAAATTTTCTTGGCTTCTTGAAGCTATGATTCAAGGTATAAGCCTATTGACTATATTGCCGGCAATATAACAGACCACAATTTTTTTTATTTATTATATTATTTTTAAGTTTCACAAGAGGTTTTGACATTCCGTGCAGGAAGTCGTACAGACCATAATTTTATAAATTTTACCAGAGGATTAGTCTTAGGTGTAGGAAGTCGTTCGGGTGATAAATTTACAAGTCTTACTACGGACCAAAAATTTAGTCTTACTGGCGGTTTTTTGTATGGTCTTACGCGCAGGAAGTCGTACGTAAGGACTTAGAAGTTTTATACGCGACATATTTAGGAATGGTGCCAAGAAGTCTTATACGCCGAAAGTAGAAGTCTTACACACAATCGTGTGATGTTTTAAACGCATGCACTCTTTCTGCACGAGAACGTTTAAATCAAATCAAATCAAATCAAACTATCATTCATTTCACACCTTTTTTTTACAAAATAGGGATAAGTTGCCTCATTGGAAATATATGTATTATTACAGTGGTGTTGGGAAGTTGGAGTAACTAAAAGTTTTCTTAGCCAACTCCCCTTTGAATTAGTTACTGTATGGTCAGACTATATTGATAAATTAATACATTAAACATAATATTTAAATAAATTAATTCATTCACATTCACACCCTTCCATATTCAGATTTAAATCAGAACGTACTTTAAAGTCAATGCTCTTGTGAATATACATTGCTACACC